CTCACGCCCAGCCCCTTTCACACAGGTATGCTTCATTACAGCTGAAAGAAGAGCCTGAACCCAGCTCACAAGGGCCACTGATTCCAGGAACATCCAGGCCATAAAGCAGAGCCTGGAGAGCCTTTGGGTTTGACTATGGGCAGAATGTAGTGAAACAATGGGGATGGAGAAGGGAACCAAGCTTTACAAAGTAGAAGGGATAGAGCTTCCCGACACTGAAACACTAGATCTCATGTCTAGGAAGAATGCCAAGCCCAGATCCCACCCTCCCCTTTCAAAATGACCTTCCGGGCACTGGGGCTGCAGGATGCCAACTCCCCCCAACACCAGCAACATTAAGGGGCTGGACACTGTCTCCCAGGCTGGGGTGGGAAACAGCAGTTCTCTTTCTTGCAGTTGTCTGCTTATTTTGATCCAGATGTCCGCTTTAACCAAAAACTGGGGAAATAGGGCACCAACGTGACTACTCCCTGGACCGTGACATGCAACTTGCACAGGGAGTGGACATGAGAAGAGAGAAGGGGTGGAAACATCCCTGCCCCCACACTTGGGCCTTTCTCCCCAGCCGTGGGGCCACAACAGCCCCACCAACCTTGCAGCACAGTTCTGCACTCAGCAGTCAGGGAAATCCTGAGCTGACACCAGCCCACTGAAGCCACAGGTGCCCCAGCCCTCAGACGCACAGCCCAGCTGGAAAGGGCTTCAAAGGCCATCAAGCACAACCCTTCCATTTCCCCAGGGAGAAGACAGGCCCAGAGAGGGGCCGCGAGTTGTATGAGCCCGTAGACAAATCAGTGGTGGAGGCGGGGAGTCCACAGACAGCGCAGGCCTCCGTCTCTGTCCAGCGCCAGTTCTGTTGCCTGGAGCGACCTCAGCCGCTACACCGCTCCTCCCATGCTGCTCAACTTCGCGCGTCCCTACTTCTGCCAACTCTCTGCTGTCGCGGCTGCCACCAACCTTGTGTCAGCAGTCCGCCACCGGCATGGAAGGGAAAGATGGCCAATGCAGGGTCGCTGTCTCACCACTTCCCCCTACTCGCATCCCAACTCCTCCTTCCCTCCCTCTACCCCCTACTCCAAATAACGGGAAGACTCCTCCCCGGGTTGACTCAACTGCACATCATTCATTCAATTAACAGCTGAGTGCTTACTACACGCCGAGGAACTGAGCCAGGTCGGGAGACTACAGAGACAGAAAATGGTCTTTGACCTCAAAATTACTCAGTCTAATAGGGAAATCCAAATCACGGGCTTCTCATTAAACGCCCAAACAGTTTAAGCTGGCTCTCCTGCTGTCTTTCTGAGAAAAACGATGGTACCCAAGAAAAGGTTTGGGGAAAGAAACCTCTCACCCTACCAGAGCAGGACAAAATCACCTTGTCACTCTAAATCTTTCCAAATCCACCTGTCTCCATCCCTTACCTGACACCACGACTCTCCGTATCACCCACCCATTGGTGTGGCCTTGAAATACAACATGTGAGGCTTCAAGCAGGGTAAGAAACTTCTAGAAATAAAGTTGGTTATCACTGTCCTGTGTCCCATGCAAGCATCAGAAATGAGAGCACTAGCACAGAGCCCTCCATGCCCTGGTCACTCTCTCACAATGGCAGGCCGGTCAAGGAGCACAAACCAGCTGCCACCAGGTGCGCAGTCCTATTCTCGGCCCCCCTCGACGCTGGACCAAGAGGATGAGAACAGGTGAAGGACTTAACTGCCTTTTAAAAGACACCTGTGAACACAGTGCCCTCGAGGACGGTGCAGGATAGCCAAGCAAGGGCCAGCTTACCTCCTTGAGAAGCCCCACTTTTTTCTTGAGCACCTCACACTTGCGCAGTTTGCAGATCTGGTGTGTGCGGCGGTTGGTACAGCTGGTGCAAGCCCCACAGTTTTCTAGCCTCCGGCAGGGCTCGCAAGTACCACACCTTTTCCGTTTCTTCCGCCCATCTCCACCCCCTCGGAGTTGGGGTTCACTTCCAGCCATTGGGAGCCCGGGGCCCTGGAAGCCCCCTACCACCACCTGGCCCTGAGGAAAGTCATAAAGGCCTGGCAGGTCCGGCTGGACTGCCAGGGGCACCTGAAACTGGCTCATGATGTGACCAGGGATGGGGGCATAGGTGCTGGGGCAGAGCCACTGTCCAGCTTCCTGGCTGCCTGCAAAGGCCACCAACAGGTCCTTCTCTCCTAAAACAGTCAAGAGTCTACAAGGGTGAAGGTAATGTTAGCTTCAGTCTCCTGGATGGGTGCCTCTTCGCAACCCTCTTCACCTTCTCTGCAGCAGTCTGTCAGGGCTCAGTCGGGGGCCACTCTCCCACCTGCTGGGGCCCAGGATCTGGGGGAGGACACCAGCAGCAGTCCCCAGAGATGGGATCATCTTGGCTGGGTGGGCTCTTCACCCTCACACACCCCGGACCCAGGCATGAGGTGAGCAGGTGAGTGTGTGGCGGGGGCAGGGCAGGGCAGGGCAGGGCAGGGCAGGGCAGGGCGAGGGATTTCTCCTGCTGGTATTTCTCTCTCCTCCTGAACAGGATGATGGAGAAGGCAGCGCTGCCTGAAAGAGACACAGAAAGGGGAAGCACATCACCAGGGGCTCGGGGACAACTTTCACAGGCCACCTCTTCCTGCTTCTGGGAAAGAGAAAATGGGGGAAGCAGGGGCTTCTTCAGACGAAAGTGTGTGCTGGGCACCGCCGGCTCCCTGTCTCGGGGAGGAGGGCCGAGGGCGGACGGGGTGCCGGGGGTCGGAGGAAAAGCCGAAGGGGGCGGTCAGGGTGAGATTTCTAGGAAAGTTGTCCCGCGCCCCCCCGCGGCCCGGGCAGCGCCTCCGACGCCCGCGCTCCCCTCGCCGGAGGTGGCCGGGCCCTCCCCAGGGGCGCGGGGCTTCCAGGATAAAGTTTGTCGGCGGCTCCGCGGCGCCCCCGCGCCCCCGCCACGGCCGCGGCTCGAGGGGTGCGGCCGGGACGGGCAGCGCGGGCGCCCGGGGCCGCCGCCAGCGCGGAGGGCGGCCCGCGGCGCCGAGGGGCGGGTGGGGGGCGCGCTCCTGCCGCGGGCCGGGCCGCGCGCGCGCCGCCGCTCGGGCTCCTTTGTTCTGGGGCCTCGGCCGCTCGGCTCCGGCGGCTCCGCAGCCCCCGCCCCGCCCCGCCGCCCCGGCCGCGCCGCTCCGCGGCCGCCCGCGGCCCCCCGCGCGTCCCCCGCCACAAAGTAGCGGCCCCCCAGGGCGTCCCCTCCCCCGCCGGGCCCCCCACGCCTCCCGCCGCCCCTCCCCCACCCCGGAGCCGGAAAGGCACCGACTGCACCGACCTGCCCGCCGCCTCCGGGGCGGAGCGCACAAAGGGGCAAAGTTTCCCGGCCCGCGCCGCCGCCGCCGCCGCCGCCTGGGGCGCGCGCCTCCCGGAGCGCCCGCCGGCCTCGCTGCGCGCGGGGAGCCCCTGCCCGGCCGCGGGGACGGCGCAGGAGGAAGGAAGAGGCAGCGGCGGCCGCGGCGGCAGCAGCAGCAGCAATGAAGGCGGCCGCGGGACTCCCCGCCCCCCGCGCGCCGCGGCACGTGCTCGCCCGGGGACTCCCCCGCCCGGGAGGGCGCGCACGTGCGGCCCCGCCGAGCCCCGCCGCCCCCGCCGCCGGCCCCGGGCCGCGCGGGGGGCGCTCCGGGGGGAGGGGCGGCCGGCCGCCCGCGGGCGCGGGGCCGGGCGGGCGCCGCGGAGCCCCTGCACCTGCAGAGCCCGCGCCGCGCGGCCTCCCGGGCGGCGGCCCCGCGCCGGCCCGCCCTGCCCTCGCCGCTGCCGCCCGGCGGGCCAGGCGGGCCGCGCGGGTGGGGCTCGCGGACCGCTCGGCCGGGCCCGCGCCGGGCGCCGCGCGGCGGCCCCACTTCCTGCCGCTCCCTGCGGCCGGGCGGTCGGGGCGGCCCCCGCGCCCCGGCCCCCCTGCGCCCCGGGCCCGCCGGGCCCTCATCGCCGGCGGCCGCCCGCTCCTCCCGCGGCAGGACAATGGGGGACGGCGCGCGGCTGCGGGCCGGGGCAGCCTGGCCGGCGCAGAGGGGGTACCTGGGGGCAGAGGCCGGCCGCGGGGCACCCTCGCTCGGGTCAGCGCCAGCGCCGCGCCCCCGCGGACCCCCGGGCCCTGCCATCGCCGGCCTCCCCCGCGCCGCGCTCGACTCTTTCGCGTCGAAAACAAAGACTAATCGGATCCCCCCGCCCTGCTCCCAGAGGAGGGGGACGGGCGCGCCGCGGGGGTAGCCGCGGAGGACAGCCCTCGGGCCGGGCGCGCAGCGCCTCCGCCGGGCCCCAACAAGCGAGCCCTAACGCCCGGCGCAGGCACTTTGAAAAGTCCCTCCCGGGCGATTTTCCAGGCTGGGGCATGGGGCAAGGCACCAAGATAGCTCCAGGTTGCCAGACTGCCCTTCTCTCGGCAGTCTGCTTTTTTCCCTCACCTGTTGTGCAGGCCAAGTTGAAATTCCAGGTTAGATTAATTCAGCTCCACCCATCTGGCCTGACTGCCCGGCTGATAGTGCCCGCAGCTGCCTTCCATCCACCTGAGTTGCTGGGGAGAAGGGTGGGTCCCTAACTCACACATCTACACACACGCGGGCAAGTGCTGGCAGAAACAGCCACGGGGCGGACCGGCCTGACCAGTTTGGGCGGTGTTCAGGGAGCCAGGTACCTGGCAGGCGTCCCCGCTCGGCTGAAGCTAGCAACTCAGCCAGAACTGTAAAAGGAGCATTCGGCCGGCTATTTAGAAGAAGAAAAAAAAATGTAACTGATCTCAAGGAGCGCTGTCCAGAAAGCCCTAGGCGGTTGGAGAAGCCGGGTTCCGTCTGGAACTTCCCTCCTGACAGGCCATATTTTGACATCCTGCTCCAGTGGCCAGGTTGTCAGCTGTGGGTGAGTGGTCCAACATGGCTACAACACCTACTTCCTATCGTGGCTTTTACAGACTGAAGAGTTTTCTGTTCAGGGAAGTAAGTCAAGAACTGAGAAGAGAAACCAATAAAGTGTAAAGTTTTTTTGTCTGTTTGCAGTATCAGATATAATCATCAAACCACTACTAGGATGTTCACACCTGTTAGTGCAAATTCAAAGCCCAGGAGAAACTTCTCCTGGGAATTTACTCCAGGTCAGGAGGCGGGCTCCTGCTACGAGGCAGCCCCCACCATTGGGCAGGTTTAGAAACACAGGAGCCTCTCCCTAGACCACAGAGAGTGTAATTTTCAATCAAACAGGTTGTGGGCTTGTAACTGTTTTTAATGTAATAAATTTTTAATGTTTTAAATCATTTATTTTCAATGAAAGTTGTGGGTATTAAAGGAAATGTAGAAAATACAGAGAATTAGAAGACAAGCATCACCCCAATACAAACACATTGAGCCATTTGCTGTATTTCCTTCTAGCCTTTTCTATTTGTAGATTAGTTTCCCTTTTTTAATAACACAGTTGTACTCACATTGATTATACAATCTGCTGTGCTCTTTCACTTAGTATTCTACCATATACATTTTCCTCTTTTGTGATACAATCTCCAGATCAACATTGTGACAATGAGGTGAAGGTGACTTAGGAGCCAGAGAGCTCAGGGTTCCAGATCTGGCTTTGCCACTTGCCAGCAGAGTGACCTTGGGCCAGAAACTCACCATTTCCAAGAGAATCCAGGGAAAGTACTTCACACAGGAGTTAATAACTGGCAGCAATGTAATTGTTTAATCCATAGAACAACTTTGTGAGGTAAGTACCATCATTATATCCATTTTAAAGATAAGAAAAGAGGGGCCTCCCTGGTGGCGCAAGGGGTTAAGCACCACACTATGAAGCAATCTGCAGCCTCTGCAGCACGAATTCAATCCCTGGCTAGCCAGAGAGCAACCCACGTGGTGAAGCAGACCTCTCCTGTCTGGCCCGCTGCTCCCCTCAGCAGTGTACTTCGGTCAATCTGCCTGTTCTGTTCCCCAATCTGTCTCTGGTGAATCCTCTCACACCCCGCACCTCTGGCCTGTACCCCAGCTCTTGTATGCATAAATATTTTTTTTAAAAAAGATAAGAGATAGCTTAAGTAATTTGCTCAAGGTCACTCAGCTAATGAGTGTAGACTTGGAATTAGAACCCTGCATCTTTCCTCCTCTATTCTGTTTTAATAAATGGCACCAGCAGTTTAACGTACCAAATTACTTTTCACCAGCCTTCTATGAGATGTCATTTCACAAAATCCTCTGGCTTACAGAAGTAGCTGGATGTTGGTACCGTTCACCAAGACAGTAGGAGGAGAGATACTTGGGGACATGAGAACCCTAGGCTGGAGACACAAATGAGGGCCGCCTCAGTGAACATATTGAAAGTAAGGCCTCAGATGTAGAGGCGCTCATTGGGAGTGGACATGGACAGTGAGAGAAGGCTAATGTCAAGACAGGACTAATGAGGGCCAGCTGCTGACAAGAGACAAACAGGAAACAGAGAAGGAGCACTCAAAGAAGAGGGAGACTAGGCCCAGACCTGAGACCTGCTTGTTAAATCTTCCCAGCTGCTTCTCCCTCTGGAACCTTGCACTACAGCAGTTCCCTTGCTTATGCCTTCTGCCTGGGGAAACCCCTTCCCACTTTACCCCCTCCCATCTACTCCTTTTACCTGCCAAATTCCCACACATCCTACAAGTCTTGGCATAAGTGCCAGTTCTTCCATAAAAACTCCCAGCTCCTCAGATAGATTTTAGAGCCTACCCACCCAGCACAGGAGTTTGACATTCCCTCCCTAGGAAGTTGTCTTATCTGCCCTATAACTGCTTGCACATTTCCCTCCCAGTTACCATGAACTCCTGGAGGGCTGAGACCCCGTCTTTTCACTTTGGTAACCCTAGGCCTAGCACCCATCAATATATGCTGAATGAAGAAACCAGGTGAGTACAACCTTATCGATGAAATATCCTGTTAAGTCTGAGGACCCCCAGGCTTCCAAGGTATTATTCCTATCTGCTTTCCTACCTACACAAACCCTTCAGGAACCCCCCGAAATGAAGGCTTTGCCTTCCTGGGTCTTCAGCTCCGTTGCTGCAGGCAATCCCTACTTGTGTGGTGCTGGGGGGCAGGAGAGTCACTGGGGTCTGCACTGTGGTGCGCGACGGGCACCTCTGTGTGGGAGCAGCATTAAGTTAGAGGTAGTGATTCCCTAAGTGTGGTCGGGACCACAAGCAGCAGCAACATGGTGAACCCGTTAGAAAAGCAAGCTCTTGGGCCCCACCCTGAACCCACTCAATCAGAAACTGGGGAGAGAAACCCAGCTTAGGGAAGTTCTAACAGCCCCTTCAGGTGATAAGTTTGGGAAGCACTGGACTGGAAGAGCGCTTGAGAGCAAGGTCAGCACTTAGACGGTGGCCACACTCAGGCCCCAGGCGCTTAAAGGCGGTAGACCGAGGGAAGCTGTTTTATAAGCTGGCTTGGCGGGCTCCACCCTTAGCGGCTGAGGGCTCCTTTTTTAGGCTTCTGTTCCGGAGAGGTCAGGACCTGGCTGAGCAGCTGCCCCAAGGGCAAGAAAGGGAACTCCCCTAGTGTGAGGAAAAAGCCTGAAGGACTGCAGGAATAAAGAGGTGCAGGCAGGCGCCCTTTCCTTGGATGGGGCTGAAGGTGGGGCTGGGAAGTGAAGGCTTCTGAAAGCTCCATTGATGAACTGAAGTTGATTCAGCATTGGGTAAAGGACACACAAAGTATAATTGGATATGCTGGGTGGTTCTTCAGGAAATAATTTTGTGAAACCAACACTGCCATGGTGTTTGCTGAGCCTGCCAATTATTATTGAATGTGACTTGCCTCCTCTGCGGTGCCTGGCCCCACTCTTTAGCTAATGTGCAATTTGTCCTATTTAAAGAATGAGCTCCAGGCCTCCCTGGTGGCTCAAGGGGTTAAGCACCACACTATGAAGCAATCCACAGTCTCTGCAGCACAAGTTCAATCCCGGCCGGCCAGGGAGCAACCCACATGGCGCAGCAGACCTCTCCTGATTCATCCGCTGCTCCCCTCAGCAGTGTATTTCAGTCAGTCTGCCTGTTCTGCCCCCTACTCTGTCTCTGGTGAATCCTCTCAGCCCCCCGCCCCCATCTCTGGCCTGTACCCCAGCTCTTGTATGCATAAATAAATAAATCTTTAAAAAAAAAAAGAATGAGCTCTGTACTATGGGGTATTTTGCAGAAATTAAATATACACCAATGTCCACACCTGGGGTTGGTTTATAAAGATTGGACAAGTTGAGGAGTTTGATTTTGGATGGTTTTTTTTTTGGGGGGGGCCATGTATTGGTTAAAAATATTATCAACTAGTATTTGTATAGAGCTTTCCCTTTTCAAAGCATGTACACACACATTATCTTTCCATGTGTAGAGTGGATAGTATGTTCAATGCCCAAATGCACCTTTCCTTTTTTTTTATGATATCATCATCATCATCATCACCATCACCATTTTCAGATAGGGAACTGGGACTCAGAAGTAATTTGTCCAAAGTCATTCACTACCATGTGACAGGACCTCTGAAATTAACCTACAATTAGCCTACCAGAGCTGATATGGAGCAGAAGCTGGCATTTTGCTTTTGGAGAAAGGGAGATTTATTAGTGGATTCTTTTGGTCATACATTGGTTAGTGTGACAGATATAAAGTAATTAGACTGTTTTTGAATAGCTCAGCAAATGTTTTCATGTTCTATAACTATTTCTGCAACTTCATCTTGAATTTAAGTTGATTTGGGTAAACTTCAAAACTTACAAGGAGACTATAATGGTCCCCATTGTAATGGGAAAAAGAATAATAACCTGGAAATCTTCCAACCTATGGGGGCTAGGCAGGAGGAAGGCAACTCTGGTGCAAAGACTCAGGTTGCTGAATACCAAAGAGCCATAAAATCTTGGTACCCCCAACCTGGATTTGACGGGGTGTATCAGTCAGATTGTATTATAGTAACACTCAGTAGTTTAACATAACATTTTTTTTCCCCATTCATGAAGTATGTTGTTTTCCATAGCTGCTCAAGAAGACAGGCTGCTGCAATTGGACAGGTTGTCTCCTCAAGGCAGGGCATGAGGATGGGGCAAATCAAGTACTAACTTTTACCTACAAGAAATATGCATAAATAGAGCCTCCCCGGTGGCGCAGCAGTTGAGCCCTGGGTTGCGAAGCTGCCCGCAGCCTCTGCAGCGCCGGTTCGATCCCCGGCTGCTCCCCGGCTATCAGAGGAGGGTCCCACATGGCGCGTAGACCTCTCCTGCCGCCCACTGCTCCCCTCAGCAGTGTACTTCGGTCCTTCTGCCTGCTCTGCTTCCCACTCTGGCTCTGTGAATTCTCTCACCCTCCCGCGCTTCTGACTGTACCCAGTGCATGTGTAAATAAATAAAAATAAATCTTTAAAAAATAAAAAAATATGCATAAATTTTGCTCTCCTTTCACTGGCCAAAGCAGTCACAAGGGCACAGGGATCTGGGAGTTTCAATAGGTATAATACTCCCATGTAGCTGGAAAGAGGAGCAAAAATATTTGGTTGGCAGTGGCTTCCCTGGTGGCACAAACAAATGGTTAAACACAGCACTATAAAGCTATACTCAGCCTCTGCAGCACAATTTCGATCCTGGCCAGCAGGGAGCTACTCACATGGTGCAGCAGACCTCTCCTGTCTCGCCTGCTGCTCCCCTCAGCAGTGTATTTCAGTCTGCCTGTTCTGTTCCCCACTGTGTCTCTGGTGAATCCTCTCACCCCCTCTCCGCACCTCTGGCCTGTATCCCAGTTTTTGTATGCATAAATAAATAAATCTTTAAAAAAAATTTGGTTAGCAGCACTAATGACTAGTTATATACAGGGAATGTGTGTGTGTGTGTGTGTGTTTGTGTGTGTATGCATGCACATGCATTTGAAATATGTGTTAATGCAATTAGTGCCCATTTCCAGGGTGCTTCTCCCTCCTGGGAACATACCTTTGAGGTCCCCACTCTAATGTATTGTCATTCTATACACAAGAACTGGTTCAGGTCCTCCCTGGTGGCACAGGTGGCTGAGCGCCACACTGTGAAGCTGTCCGCAGCCTCTGCCGCGTGGGTGCGGGTTCGATCCCAGCTGGCCGGGGAGAATCCCACAGGGCGCAGTAGACCTCTCCTGTCTCGTCCGCTGCTCCCCTCAGCAGTGTATTTTGTCAGTCTGCCTGTTCTGTTCCCCGCTCTGTCTCTGGTGAATC